ACACACACACACACGGCCATGCATAGAGCGACGGGACATCATTGCGTTTTTGTAGTTACATGAATGCGAAAAAAGACGATATGAAAGTTTTCGAACTAACATCTCGCCGATTTCGCATTATTTCTTTCAAAAAACTGCTCCCACAACAAGGCAGGGCTCAGAGGGCCGCGCGTATGCCATTAGCATCGCTAAAAAGCACGGGCCGTCGCCATTTCATGTTTTAGCTGCTGTAAGAAGGATTAAAGCAAACAGGGCTGTGAATCTAATATTACTGGAACGAAGTACTGCGGTGCCGGAAGTGGTTCGATTATGCTCAATGTTAGCGTTTTTCGCTGCTCCACCCCCGGCATCGTGCAGCAGCGTGCAATCCGGGGGTTTTCGACGGCAAGCGCTTTCCCAGTCAACAATCGCTTTGTTTCTCACGAGTTCGTCGAATTTGTCGAACGGAATCCAATAATTTGAATCGCTCAACTTTTCTAGTTGTTCAAGGTAGTTCGCCTAAACCGAACATACAACAGTAATCAATGAAAGATCCTCAAGAATTCATCACATGTGTGTAGCTGTGCAAAAAATGACCCAAATACCAATCCTGCCTAAGCCATACTGCATATATTTTTTGCTCAGTTTAAATTCGGCAACATCAAAACCATCCAAGTACCCGGGCACAGAGTCGTTAAATTTGAGCTAGAAGGTCAAATCTCTTATGTTAGGTCTACCGTCTCTACAGAAGCACCAGTCAGGCCGTCTTCAGCCTTGGCAGTACTACTAACCGAATTTTTCAGCCCCCTTTATACTCAGAAAAGTCAACGATCACCTGTTGTATACAAAAATTAAAAATCTAGTGAAACCTGTTTGATAGTGTGTCTGTCAATGGCTAAGGGCTCGTGGTATAACAGTCTAACAGATGGTGCCGGTTTATCGCGATATTCGATCAGAAATCCAGCAGACGTATCTAGAGAACTCTGATTCATCATCATCAGCCTCATTACCGACAGCGTTACTTCCAGGTGCTAAAATATGCGTCCAGCACTAGAAATCATGCAGTGAAAAATTTATCTCTGCTAATAAACATTTTGGAAAGACATTTTTTTTTCTTAAATTTATTAATTAACAGCGTTAATATTTCTGTATTGCTGGCCAGTGCTCTGTTTAATTCATGCTGAGCTGATTAACGCCTATTTTTTGGGCGGCATGCCTATGATACAACAGCAGAACCGGCACATACCAGTAATATCATATTTTTTGAACTCAATTCTTGCTGTGAGTTTTGAGGAACTAACAAAAATTTATCATA